CATATGTGCTACCCCACTATAGCCTACAAACATGCATCAGCTATAATAATCTGACACACTAAACCCGAGTCTTACAAAAACCGCGGGGGTGACGACTGTTAAATACCGATTTCGTATACGTAAAACCTGTTCCATGTTTTTTCACCCCCCCTCGTTTTCGGTTTTCGGACGCGCAATGTCAAGGATGGAGGGTCAAGGCGACAACCACGCGACCACCCACGACATCGCCAGCCTTCGAGGCCCTCCTGACAAACCAATCGGTAGCCGCCACCACAGTAGTAAATGCAGCAGCGAACGTAGCGGCGACAGCAGCGGCGACACCGACAATCCACGGACCAGTGGCACCACCTTCGCCGAACCTCAAAGCAGCTCGCCCGAGGCTCCCCAAAGCATTCGATATAAGCGCGAAGGGATCGGACGTTCGACGATTCGTGGCGACCCTCGAAAATTATTTCAAGGCCATTGGCTGTTCGACTTCGACACACGATGCAGTAAGAATTTGGCTCGCAGCGCCACTGTTGCGAGGACCAGCACTCGAATGGATCTACTATACTGACGTAGCCCACGGGGAGAAAACGTGGGCGTGGTTTTGGGCAGACCTCATCGAAAGATTCGAACCCATTAATTCGGTGTATATGGCGCGGCAGCATATTCATCGACACAAGCAGCTCGTGAGTGTAGCACTGTAGATGCAGCAGATGGAGCAAGTTTTCAACCGCATCACCGACCTGACCGAAGGCGAAAAAATCCAAGCATACACAGAAGGGTAAAAAATGGAGATTCGCCGATAGGTCATCGCCGCGAACTACAGTAGCTATCGCGACATCGTACGTGCCGTCGAACGATACGGCGCGTTGATTCGTGGTCAACCCGAAACACAACGCTATGGCCAGAACTGTACATTTGGCACGGAGTAATCGACACCCCCCACGTTTGCCGAATCGATGGACATCAACAGATTCGACGCAAAGCAGCAGCCGACAAAATGCGAATTTTGCGGTGCAGCCGGACATCAAATCCGGTCGTGCTACAAAATGAAAAAAGCACGTGCGACTTTGCTGGGCAGGAATAGTACAGCACCACCGAAGTAAAAAAACGGGAATCGCCAGTAGCCGCGGATCGACCTGCCAATTGTGTAAAGATCTGAAAAGAGATAAGGGCGACGATGTGGCGACTTCGGAGCGGGCGAAAAAAGGAGGAAATGATGGCGGGAATATTGAACGTCACGACCGGCCGGCAATAGGGGAAATCGCCGAGGAAAATGGAGGCTCCACAAAAAAAGACTCTGCACCGACCGGGAAACTCCAGCCGAACACCCACGAAAGTAAGAATTCGTTTAAGTTATCCTACAAAGATACTTCTCGTGGTTTTCAAGCCTTTGAGAAATCCAAGGAAAAGTTAGAGTCCAAGAAAAGGCCTTTAGACATTCTTCGAGTACCTGTGAAGTTGGGCAAAGCATTACGGAGCGTAGAAAAAGGTCGTGCATTCCGTGGAGTTAGTATTCTCTCCCCGCAGCACAGTGTTGAGGCTCCCCATTGCCCACAGGTGAAGCCTACACAGCTGCAAAGGCTTAGAGGAAAATTTCAGGCTCAAGAGAAGTTGTTCAAGCCTCGGAAAATTCCTCCTACCCCATAGGTGAAGTTGGAAAGTGCTTAGTCAGGTAAAGGAAATAGGGATGGTATTCATTTTGATGTACCCTATGATCCTATAATGAGACCCTCTTTGGCTACTCAGCGCAGTAGGAACCACTACTCCTCGAGGTATTATGCAAAAGGCGATGCCTTCAGGCACTGGTAGACAGCAATGCATCTTACTCAGTGTGTAACCGCGGGAAGTTGGAGAAAATCGGAGAACCTTGGGAGGAGACCAATTTCACGGCAACGATGGTGGATGGAACGAAACTTCTCATCCACAGCGAAGCATCACGGCAGCTACACATAAGGGCGCTGAGATGGAAGCCGATGTTGCCGATCACGAACATCAAGGGTTCAGATTTCATCTTGGGGCAATATTTTTTGAAGCGGTTCAACCCCGAGATCGACTGGGTCAACAGAAAGGCGTGCATCTACAACAATGGAAAACAGGTGGAGCTACGAAGCTGGACGGATACAGGAAATATTCCCAAAACGACGCTGGCATGGTTCGAACTGACAGTGAACGAAAGTAACATGGGTTACTTAGCACTGGTCATGGCAGCCGCAGAGGAGAAGCCGAACACAGAGCTACCTGCAGCAGTGAAGGAGATCTTGGAGCAGTACAAAGATATCATGCCTGACAACCTACCTGCAAGTGTAACTCCAGCACGCACCCACGAGCACGAGATTGTGGAGGAACCAGGTACGAAACCCGTCTCACGTGCACCATACCAACCGAGTCCGACTGAACCGACAGACATGAAGAAGCAGAGTTTCTCAAGCTCCAGCTCAAGCTCTCCGCCATGGAACTTGTCATGGCCTTTGGCCCATGTGTTTGTGAAGCCAGATTGCCAGTTGACTTCAATAAGGACAGATCCGTGTTCTTTACAACAAGACGAAGCGATCTACATACTTCTCGTGTCCATCAGGCGGACATTGTATCTGCTTTGAACGTGTACACGACTTCATGTCAAGTTACGAAGTCCAAGGTTCCTTCACTTCTGGGTCACACGCGGCTCCTTGGGAGCTTCTTATTCCACAGAGATTATTGCGATATACTTTCAAGGTTAATCTTGCCTCGAGGAGGCTGTCAAAGGTCTTCCTTGGTTTTACATTATCAGGAGCAACATCAGTTGCAAGATTCCTATTTAACAAGGAAGGCACGATCTTCTAGGCTCAGACTTCAGTCTTTCAACTGCTGGCCAGCTTTTGTCGCTGTTTTATCCTTGTCTCCAGTTCATCATCGCCTAACCATGCCTCCTAAGCGTGTGAAGCGTGTCGACGCTCAGGGGGGGATCCCGATGCTCCTGATTTGCCTGCAGCAGCAACAGGGGGTGTTTCCGACAACAATGTGGTCAATGGTGCTGCTGCCGGTGGTTCTGGACTTTCTGCTGCTAACAAGCTTCAGATCCCGTCAGTGGCCACGGCTTCCACTGCGGACAATAATGAAGCATTAACGACGGACTTTGACTCTGATAACGAACTTGACTTCGATTTTCAGCAAGTCGTTTCTGCGCATCTGCGCTTCACGGCTCTTCTGCTCATACCGTTTGCTTTGTCGCAGGAGATGGCTTCGGTCGTTTCCTCTGTTAAGATGCTGCTTAAGCGTGTCTGGGCTTCGTCATTATTGGCTGGTGCTTCTTCTTCCGTGCAGTTTCAGGAGCTCTTGCCGTCGTATGTGGCCAAGACCAAGTTTTGCCGTCTTCATCTCTCCTTCCTGCTGAAAAGTGATGCTTTGGGGGTGCGCGAGAAGGAGGTGGTTTACCATAAGTCCAATGGAATGGATTCCAAGCCTTTTTGGCAACAGACTGAGGATGCTGGTTATGCGAAAGAGAAGTCTCTGAATCCGCATGCTATTGAGGTGGTTTTTAAAGGCATCTCTGCTAACATCTCATCGGACCTGTTGAATGAGTGTTTGGCGAAGTACAACCTGAAAGGGAAACAACAACTGATCTTCCGTGCTGGCAGCTGTTTCCATCGGGTCCTGCATCCTGTTACGGGAGCTGACACTGATGTCATCAAGGGTCTGGTCTACAATCACAATGACAGCCAGCTTAACTGGAAGCAAGTCATCGGCAATCCGTTGGAGCGGGGGAAGAAGCTGTTGATCCATTATCCGGCCTTATCCTGTTCTCTCTGCGGGGCACATCATCATGATAAGTATCATGATGTGTTTGTCACTGAGAGACAAAATGATGTTGGTAAATGGAACTTGTCGTTGGGCAGGGTGCATCGCCTTAACGGTAACAGAGCTCTTCGCTGCATCACGGTCCCCTTTTCTTACCTTCTTGCTTTTACTGACGCTTGCGTGGCTTCTCGCAGCTGCTTCTCTTCTCGCGTCCTCTTTGGTTCTCCCTATTCTTCGAGAACCTGCTGTTGCGCTGATCTCCACTGGAGGAAACAGGGAGGAATGGCTCTACACGCAGTCTGCCTGTGGGAAGGCGAAAGGGAAGAGTTTCTTGTCGGCCTCGGAACATATTGCATCGGCGAGTCACCTGCTCCACCAGGAGAAGTTTGGCTCCGCTACGAAGCTGTCTCTCGAGAAGATGAACCTCAACACCATTCGGAAGGAGTACGGTTTTTAGCCTGCTCAGGTGGACAGGAGTGTGTAGCGGAGATTAGCTTGTGGTCGTTTGTCAGATCTATCGGTTCGTTGTCTCTTAACAGCGTGTGGATGATCTGGGGCTGCAAGTCGGTTGCTAAATGAATCTTAAAAACCACCTCACCTTCGCGGCCGTCAATGTTAACGGCCTGGGAGACTGGAAGAAGCAAGAACGAGTCACAGACTGACACAGATCAGCGGCGGACGTAATGATTTAGTGGACACTAGGATAGCCTCAGATCACTCTTACTGGAACTCTCTCGCAAATCTCACCTCCACCACAGTACTTGCTGCATCTCCTCTGCCTTTCTCTGTCGTAACCTGCTGGTCTCCTTTCAGGACACTATGATGCACCCGTCCGGTAGATTAGTTAGGACCACGGTGGGTGGGGTGGGCCTGGAGCTCACGCTTTTAGCTGTCCATTTCCCGGCGGACCCGGCCTTGAGAACAGTTTTCTTCCGGGATGTCTTGGGCCTAGTGGTGGATCAGATCCCCTCATCATCTCACCTTCTTATCATCGGTGACCTTAACCTGGTTGAGGACCCTTCATTGGACAAAACCTCGGGTGGCGGCTTGTCGTCGGAGAATGAGAAGCTCTTTCTGCATTGCTGTAGCTTCCAGCTCTCTGATGCGTTCCGGGTCCTGCATCCATGAAAGAGAGAGAGTACACGTTTTACTCAGCGTCGCAGCAGGAGAGTACACGGATTGACCGGGCGCTGGTTTCTCAATCTTTGCTGCCTTACCTGTCACTGGCGTCCCATGAGATGCCGAAGGAGCCTATCGCGGATCATGGCTTTGCAATCCACGTGGCGTTTTGGCTGGATGCGAAGGTCCGCACGGGGCCGGGTATCTGGAGGCTCCACGCTTCCATGCTGCACAGGCCGGGTGTTCGGAAGGTCATTGAGGCGACGGTGCGGCGTACACCGGTCAATGACGGCAGCAGCTTTGAGCTTTTGCTGTCGCGGCTGAGCGTTGGTCTTAGATCCTACGCGAGGGAGGAAGGGAAGCGTGTGAAGGCCACGCTGGTGCACCTGCATCGGGCGGTTGCAGTTTTAAAACAAGAGTTAATGGGAGATCTAGGCTGCGGGAGGAAGAAGGTGTTGCTGGCGGAAAAGGAACAGCAGTTCAAGGCGTATCATGCGGCTAGGCGGGATAAGCTGCACTTACAAGCGGGTTTAATGGCAGAACTTACCGGGGAGATAGCCTCCAAGCACCTCTCTGCAAAAGTTCAGGCGCGGAAAGCGAGGACGCAAATCGCGGAACTAAAAATCGGAGGTACCACGGTTGGCGGTCCCAGGCCGGTGCTGGAGGCTGCGTCAGAGTTCTTCACAAACATTTTCGGGAAGGATCGCAGAACCGACTTCACGGGCTGGAAGGTGGCCCCAAGTCGATGGCTACAGGAAGGGTTGACGTCTTTCCTAGTAGCAGAATGGACAGAGGAGGAAGTTAAGAGGGCATTTGCGGCAATGGCGAACAACAAGTCGCCGGGGAGCGACGGGTTGCCGAAGGAATTGTTTGAGGTTCTCTGGGATCTGCTGGGGGGGAGCTTTATGGCCATGGCGTGAGACTTCCAGGCATCGTCTTCACTGCCTGATGAAATCAAGGAGGCGGTGACGATCTCACTTCATAAAAAGGGAGAGAAGGATCAACTCAACAACTACCGCCCTATCACCCTGTTGAACTTCACCTACAAGGTCTTGGCGCCGGTGATTGCGGACCGAATGAAGACGGTGCTGCACCAGGTCATCTCTCCGGAGCAGTATGGCTTCCTACCCGGCAGGCGGCTGTCGGATGCGGTGTCCCTGGTGGCGGACATTATTGAGGCCGCGAGGAACGGAAGCAAGGACTGGCACTTGCTTCTGGTCAAATTCCAGAAAGCATTTGACTCGGTCTCCCGCAGCTTCCTCTTCCAGGTGTTGCGGGGCATGGGCTTTCCTTACCGCTTTGTGGGGTGGATCGAGGGCCTGCACAGAGACACAAAGACGCGGCTGTTAGTAAGTGGATGGCTGGGTGAGGGGCTGGAGGTGGTCTCAGGGGTTCAGCAAGGTTGCCCTCTAGCTCCCTATCTCATCCTGTGCGCTGTGGAGCCGTTGGCGCAAGATGTGGAGAGAAGGAAACTTGGTTTGTCTGAGGCGGGGCAGCAGCTCGGTTATCTGGGTTACGCTGATGACACGACGCTGGTCCTGCAGGGGAAGCAGCAGATTGTCAGAGCGGTGCAGCTGTTGTCGGAGTTTGAGAAAGTCTCGGGGCTTGCGACAAATGCGGACAAAACGGTGGTCTTACCTTTGGGTGTTAACACTCGGATTAATGGCGGTACTTTGTGTGGTTTCAAGCGCGCCGGCGCGGACGATGCAGAGAGGCTGCTGGGCGTCTGGGTGGCTCCCTTCGGCAGCAGTATACCGACCTGGGAAAAGGCGCTGGGGCACATCAGGGGGAAGTTACATCTCACAACTTCGGCAAGAGCGACGGTGGTGAACAGTTACATCTCGCCGATAATCGCCTTTCAGGCTCAGGTGTACTCGCCCCCGGCAGCCATCTGGGAAGAGCTGATGAGATTGATCCAGGGCTTCATCTCCGGTAATAGGGTCTCGGGAGCGAAGGGCTTCCAGCTCTGGAGCAGGGAGCTGCTGTTCAAGTCCAGAGCGGCCGGGGGGATTGGAGTCAGGGACCTGGAGATGATCATCATGTGTCTGGCTGCGAGGAGGGTGGGGCTGTTCCTCACCGAGCGCAACCTGTTGAAGAAGGAGATCATGACGCTGGCAGCGGATCTTCCTCTGGGGGCGGACACCTTTGAGGCGCACGAGAAGTTGATTAAGCACTGGTCTGGTCGCGGCATTCGCTGGAAGCAGACGTGTGAAATTTTCATGCGGTCTCCCTTTGGATCTCGGGCTCCAGCTAGCAGCAGGGAGGAAGTGCTGCGGGAGAGAATCTTCTATAATCGGGAAATTCTGATTAACGGCTCCACGCCTGTCGGATGGCAGCAGGACGCTCAGAGACTGAAAGGGTTTCGCCTAGGTGATCTGCTGGTGCAAGGGTCTGACGGGGAGCTTGACCTGAAATCCATGGCGGCATCATCCCAGCAGCTGGGAGGTAACGGCCCAGCTAAGCTTGCTCTCAAGGCACTGAGGGCTTTGCCAGCTGCTTGGGAGAGCCTGATGGGCTTCCCGACTTCTCGTCCCTGCTCAGCTGACTCCCCCCATAGGCTGGTGGTGGTGGAAGGGGGCCGGGTGGTGTCTGAGAGGCGGATGAAGGAGGGCTGGCGTGGCGCAGAGGAGCAATCATACAAGCAGGAGAAGTGGGCGGAAAGGTGGCGCGGGACAATTGACTGGAAAACGGGCAATTGCGACCAGGGACTCCCTGGCGGTTCCTAGCCGTCCGCGGGATGTTCTCACCAGAATACACGGATGGAATTTGCAAGTCGGGGAGAGGTTGGCTTTCCTCAGCAGCAAGCATGTCTGCCCGTACTGCGGGGAATCGGAATCAATGGAGCATTGCCTCCTGCTCTGCCCATGTGTTCAGGTGGTTTCCTCGGCCCTCAGGCGTGTGCTGTGCATGCTGAACCCTTGCCGCAGGGTTGACACGTTGGGTGATTTTCTGTTCCGGAAAACGGGCACCAGCTCAGCATTTCCGGAGCCGACTCTCACCGCCATCACCTTCCATCAGCTGTAGATAGAACGGTGTGAGGCGGTGTTCCGTGGCGGCAAGTTCCGGACGCAGAGGGTTTTATGGAAGATTGCCTTTGCGTTCAGGCAGCATGCAAGGATCTACACTCGGAAGTTTGGCTCGGCGCGGCGGAAACAGTTGCGATGTAATTATGAGAAGGAGCGGACCATGCTTCGGCGGATAACACAAGACGATATCAGTTGGAAGTGGACAAGCGCGTTTGCAGCTTTGTGGTCACCTCGCAGGGCAGGCCCCAACGTGCCCTAGTGTGTCTTGTTTTTGGGGTTAGGGTCTGCCCAGCCCCTCATGCACGGTTACGACCGTTCTTGGTGTTGTACGCTTGCCCTTCGGTGTACTTTACCAATTATCATTAAAAACAAAAAAAACAAAAAAGCAGATAGAGTATCTACCGGACAGACAACTGATCCGCCCATCCACCTCTCCCTACGATGCACCAGTTCTCTTCACTCCAAAACCAGACGGCAGTTTACGGATGTGCATGGACTACCGCGCACTGAACAAACAGACAGTAAAAAACATGTATCCCATACCGCGCATAGACGACCTACTGGACCAACAACGTGGTGCAACAGTCTTCTCGAAGCTGGACCTACGGTCGGGCTAATGGTAGATCAAGATGGCGGACAATTCGATCCACAAGACGTCGTTCCGTAGTAGATACGACTCCTACAAATACTTGGTTATGCCATTCAGACTCCGCAACACATTTCAGGCGGAGATGAATCACATCTTACGGCCCCTGCTGAACGAGTGCGTGGTGGTTTACCTGGACGACATTCTCATCTACTCCAAGAACATGAAGGAGCACGTGGAGGATCTGCGGAAGGTGTTTGAGATCCTGTGGAAAAACAAGTTCTTCGTAAAGCTGTCGAAGAGCGACTTCGCCCTGAAGAAGGTGCAGTTTCTTGGGCAAATGGTGAGTGCAGAGGGCGTACACGTGGACCCGCGGAAGATCAAAGCCGTCAAGAAGTGGAAAGTACCAGAGAACGTGAAGGAGTTACAGCAGTTCCTCAGCTTCGCCAACTATTACAATAGGTTCGTGCCGTAGTACGCTAAGATAGCAGCACCTGACTGACCTACTGAAAAAGGATGCGCCATACAGATGGGATATTTCTCATCAGCAAGCGATGGAGCAGCTACAGACAGCACTGAGTACAACACCAGAACTTATCCTACTGGACCCAGACAAGGACTACGTGGTGGAAGGAGATGCTAGTGACCAAGCAGTCAGAGCAGTATTGATGCAGGATCACGGACGCGGTTTGCAGCTCATCGCCTACCTCAGTAAGAAGCTACACAGAGCAGAACTGAACTACCGCATTCATGACAAGGAAGCCTTTGCGATAGTCATAACCTTCAAGGCGTGGAGGAGTTATCTAGAGGGAGCAAAGACTAAAGTTTACACTAACCACTGCAGTCTCAAATACATGAAGTCGCAGCCGACGCTCTCACGACGACAACTGCGGTGGGTGGACTTCTTGAAGACCCACTTCTACTACGACATCGTCTACAAACCCGAGCTACACAACAAGGCAGACCCGTTGAGCCGCCCCAGTCATGAAGCAGGCATCCAGCTCGACGGGATGAACCCTCTGCTCAAGGGTCTATTCCAACATGGGTACTCCGTGGATACAGAGATCGCTACAGCACAGACTCAGAAGCTGATACAGCGGGAGAAAGACTTAGCTGTAAGGAGGGGCACATGAAAGATTTGAGTACCAAATTATTCCCCGCTACGGCAGATTCTACTAGAGAAGTTTCACGACGTACCTTACGCGGGACAGTTCGGGAGCAAAAAGACCTTAGCAGAGATCGCGAAATTTTACCATTGGCCTGAGATGGCAGCAGATGTGCAGCAGTTTGTCACCTCATGCGACACGTGCCAGCGGATGAAGAGTAGCAAGCACAAAAAGCAGGGTTACTTCAGCCTCTACCCGTACCGGAGCAGCCATGGCAGGTCGTTAGCCTCAACTTCATCACGGGACTTCCTTCGACCTTACGAGGGTATGACGCTATACTCGTGGTGATCGACAAGTTCTCTAAAATGGGTAACTTCATCCCGACCAACGTCACGACTACAATGAAGCAACTTCTCGCCTATTCTTCGACCGCATCGTCACCATCCCGCTACATTCATCTCAGACAAAGGCCCCAATTTCATGAGTAAGTTTTGGAAGGAGCTCATGGGATTGTTGGGGACTAAACTTGCGATGTCTTGAGCATACCACCCACAGATTGACGGACAGACAAAACGTCTCAATCAAGTGGTTGAACAGTTTCCGCGCACAGCTTGCAAAGACGATGTCAGCCACTGGGACACATAGTTACCAACCATAGAGTTCACTCAAAACAACACATCAAATGCAGCCACATGGAAAAGTCATTTCTTCCTGTGTTACGGATGGGAACCACTTACACCACAACAGTCAACCGCACCAGCCCATATCCAAGCCGCACACAACTTCGTCACCACTATGCAGCAGCTATGGGAGAAGACTTAGCGACACCTCACCATGATGCAAAACTCCCAGAAGCAGTATGCCGACCGCCAGCAACGTGATCACACAGTAGCAGTCGGAGATCAGGTGCTTCTCGACACGTGCAACTTGAACCTGTCTCACCTTCCATCCTAGCTCCGGCCTCACTTCTGTGGTCTTTTTCACGTTGATTCACAGGTGACCCCAATAACATTCCGCTTGCGCGTACCTACTACGTGGAAGCTTCACAGCGCTTTCCATGTTAAGCTACTTATGCCCTACAAGGACCCCAACCAACAGTTTCAGGAATGGCAGCTACCGCCACCTCCACCTGTTCTTCTATAGGATGAACCAGAGTACGAGATCAAGCGCGTTCTCACTCATCGGCGCCGCGATGATAAGACCCTCGAGTTCTTGATACGCTGGAAGGGATACGACCCCACTGTAGACAGTTGGGTTGCTGAAGCTGATATGGGCAACACACGCCATGATCTCAAGGACTATCTTGTCAAGCAGCGTGTCTCTCACACCACCCAACTTTGAGGGGGGGACGTGTGAGAGTACAACGGCTTATGCTCGCTTTGCTAGCTTGCCTGGACTTGATCATGCTCTTACTAGCTTGGGTTTATATATCATGCATAGATATATTTGATTTCCTATATTTTATTATACTTGCAGCACGTGTACTGAACTCAAGCCCATTCGGTTTCCACCGAATTGCTTTCTACTGAGTTTAAGAAGGTTCTGTTTGGGACGCTTCGCGAACACCTGGCTTACCTGCCTTGTGTCGATCCTATATATAGCCTCGTGTTGTACCCAGGTGAATCATTAAATTCAAACCCACTTTTCTGAGCTCGATCCTCGATCCTCACACTTGTTATCCGTCGCCAGGAGGTGCTCCTCTCTTTCCCTTGCAGGTCCTCAAGGACAAGCAGTTCGATCTTGGTTTTCTAGCAGTCGCTGTTCCTCATCTCTACGCAATGCTGCTTGCCCCTAAGGGGAATGCAGAAGCCCTTGACATCCCGAACCCTCGCACTCATGCCGATGCGGTCTTAGGACCCTGGGCTTCATACTCGAAAGCAGCTGAGGAGGCAGAGATGACATCTTATAGGTCCACAGGCACCTACGTCGATGGCGTCTCACCACCTCGGACGAACGTCGTCAGTGGCATGTGGCTCTACAAGGTGAAGCGATCGCCTGGATTACCACCGGCGTTCAAGGCACGCTACGTAGTGAGAGGCTTCAGTCAGCGCAAGAGGGTAGACCTTTTCCAGACCTTTGCTCCCACCCTGGAGATGACCACTCTTCGGGTGTTGCTGCACATCGCAACTCAGTGTGACTACGAGTTACACTCCTTAGACTTCTCCACATCGTTCCTTCGTAGGAGCCTTCATGAGCAGATCTGGCTGCGTCGCCCACCTGGCTCACCGGCTCTTTCCCTCCTGGGATCCAGTGGCAGCTGTGTTGACTGCTCTACGGCATGTGCCAGGCTCCTTGTGAGTGGCACGACACACTTTTCATGATGCTTGCAACGCCTTGCTTCTATCCGTCATCTCCTGACCCCTCGCTGTTCATTCATTATAGCTCGACTCGGTTCTTTCTTATGGTTTACGTTGACCACCTGGTTTTCACCACTCCCGACCAACGCGCACTGGCCTCTGTGAAGAAGGAACTGCAGAAGAGACATGCTTGCAATGACCTTAGTGAGCTGCAGCGCTACCTTGGTCTGCAGATTTCCTTGACAGGGCAGTTTGCATAGTTATGCTAACATAGGCACATATGGTCGAGCAGGTTTTTACGCAGTATCGCTTCCCATTTTGGAAGGTACAGCTTACCCCCTGTGGATCATGGGCTTATGGCTCCACCTTTGGAGGAGCCATATGAGTCCAGTGGTCCATATCATAAGATTGTGGGTTGTCTTATGTACCTGATGCCCTGTACTCGCCAGGACCAAGCTTACCCTCTTAGCCTCCTTGCGTGCTTTGTTGTGCCTGGGAGACACAGACCTTTTTATTGGTTGGCAGCTAAGAGGTTGGCAAAGTATGTAACGAGTACATCACGCATGTGACTAGTCATTGGATAGAAGCAGCCAGTTACACTTACAGGTTTCTCGAACTTGTCGTGTGCCGACGACGCTGAGTCACTGCGGTCTACACAGGGTTGGCTAGGGTTTGCTTTATCTTCCTTGTCATTGTAATTTCTACTCATTT